TAAACAAGTTTTCAGAATGTATTGTTATTAACTATAGTCTCCATGTAGTACAGTGGATCTCTTGAACTTACTCTTTACATCTAATTGAAATTTTGTTTCCTTTGACCAACGTCTCCCAAATTCCCTGCCTTTGTTCCTCCTCCTGGCTTCTGCTAGTCACCATTCTACTCTCTTCTTTTATGAGTTTAACTTTTGTCTTTTGGTACCCAGTCAGGCTTATTTTACTTAACATAATGTCTTCCAGGTTCATTTATGTTGTCACAAATGACATAATTTCTTCTTTGTTAAAGCTGAATAATATTCCGTTTTGTATATAAACCACATTTTCATTATGCATTCATCCATTCATAAATGTTAAGTTGATTTTAAATCTTGACAACTGTGAAAAACACTGCAGTGAAATGGAAGTGCAGATATCTCTTCGACATATTGATTTCAATTTTGGGAAATGTAAACCCAATAGTGGGATTTCTGAATCATGTATTTTGACTTTTTGTGGAGTCTACATATTATTTCCATAATGGCTCTACAAATTTCCATTTCAACCAATAGAGTACAAGATATTATTTTACTTCATTCACTCCAATACTTACCTTTTGTCTTTTTAGTAATAGCTATTCTGACAGGTGTGAGGTGATATCTCATTGGGATTTTAATTTCTCTAATGAATGGAGATGTTGACCATGTTTATATACCTGTTATCCTTCCGTACGTCTTTTGAATAAATGTCTGTTCTGGTCCTTTGATAAGTTTTTAATCAATTTGCTTTCTTTCTGTTAGATTGTTTGAGTTTCTTATATGTTTTGACAAGAACCCTTTATTAAATGTATGGCTTGCAAATGTTTTCTTCCACTCCATTGGTTATCTCTTCATTCTGTTGATTGTAGTTTTTGCTGTCCAAAAATCTTTCTAGTTTAATGTGATTCCATTTGTTAATTTTATTTTTGTTGTCTTTGCTTTTGGTGTCCTACAGAAAAAAAAATCATTGTTGCAACCAGTGTTATAAGGCTTTCCCCTTATGTTTTCTTCCATTTAGTTTCCCCTTATGTTTTCTTCCATTCTATTTAGTGTATGTAGTGAGAGATAAAAGTTCAATTTTAGTTTTCTACCTGTAGCTATCCTTATTTAAATGACTGTCTTTTTCTCATTTCGTGCTCTTAAAACTATAAGTAATTGAGTTTACTTCTGGGCTTTCAGTTCTGCTTTATTGGTCTGTGTGTCTGTTTTTATGACAGTATTATGTTATTTTGATTGCTAAAGTTTTGTAGTATATTTAAAAGTCAGGTACTTTGATGCCTCCAACTTAATTATCTTTCTATAATAAATGCCATTGAAATTTGGGGTATTATGATATTTTAATAATGTTAACAAAACACAGGATTTTTTCTGTTTATTTGTGTCTTCTTTAGGTTCTTCTATCAATGTTTTATAATTTTGAGAGTACAGATTTTTCCACTGCTTGATAACATTTATTATCAAGTATTTTGTGTGTCTTTTGTAGCTACTTTAAGTGAGATTACTTTCTTGATATTTTTTCCAGATAATTTGTTGTTTATATAAAGAAACACTTTTGAGTTTTGTATGTTTATTAGTTCTAACAGTTTTTTGGTGGAGCCTTTAGAATGTTTTTATGTTTAAGATCGTGTCATTCATAAACAGTAACAATGTAACTTCTTTCTTTCCAATTCTGATGCCTTTAGGTTATTTAATTGCTCTGGGTAAGACTTCCGGTACTGTGTTAAATAGAGGTAGTGAAAGTGAATATTTTGGTCATCTTTCTGGTCTTAGAGAAAAAAGCTTTCAACTTTTCACCGTTGAATGGTATGTTGACTGTGGGTTTGACATATGTGACATTTATTGTGTTGTAGACCTATTTAATTTTTATTGCTTACCATACTTCCCACATTCCTTTTATTCAGTCAACATTCTACTACGCTATTTAGCACGCAAATAAACAAAACAGAAGCCCAGAACTCAGGTAGAGTCGATATTTCACATACTAACCTGCATGCTGTTTGCAGATCTTCAAACTCTCTGTTCCATCTGTGCTTTTCATTTTGACATTAGTGTTTTCTCCAGTTCTAAGAATCCTGTTATCTCATCTACTGTAGTTTACCCATATTTTCTGAGTCTCTAAAACATCTTATTTGTATTATCTCAAGTAACTCTTAACCAAATACCATGCAATATGGCTTCACAATTTAAGAGTGGGGAGTCTGGATCTGAAACCTGAATTTCAGTTCTTACTTCCCAGTTCTTATACTCTCTGGAGCCTTTTCACATAAATTGGACCGGATACTTAACTTATTTCTCTGTGTACTTCTTTTTCCATATATGAAATGTTAGTAAACTTTTTACAAGGAGTTTTTGTGAAATTTCAGTAAAGCAGGTGGCATGGTGTGACCCCAATTAACATTAACTATCATTACTGAAGTTGTGCCACTGTTAACTACAGAGAATGTGGTGAAAAAATAGGATTTGAATCCTAATTTGTATGATATAGGAGAAGTATTATTTAAATGATCCATAGAATAGGAAAAATAATAACTATTCCACTGGCTTATTGTGAGTATATTAATATTTATAATTAATATTGCATTAATTAAAATATAACACTACATATCACATTGTAATTAATATTACATATTGTAGTATTTGTATATTAATATTTGTGATGTACCTCCGAGAGATTTGTAAAAATGAATGATAATTATACTGATTCACATTGCCTTATATATACTTCTTTTTTAATCTTAATAGGTGCACAGAAGACATTATCTTTTATTAAAGTAATTGATATCAGCAAACTTGTTTTTTTCTGTTTTGTGTCTTCCATGTATCTTTGTCATAATTGTTGTCCAATAGAAAGTTATTCTCCTCCGGGCTCAGTGGCTCAGCCTGTAATCCCAGTGCTTTGGGAAGCCGAGGCGAGTGGATTGCTTGAGCCCGCGGATTCAAGACCCGCTGGACAACTTGGTGAGACCTCATGTCTACAATAAATAAAAAATTAGCCAGGTGTGGTAGCATGTGCCTGTAGTTCCAGTTACTTGGAAGGCTGAGGTGGAAGGATCAGGGAACCCAGCAGGTCGACGCTGGAGTGGCTGGGAGTGTGCCACTGCACTCCAGTCTGGGCCATGGAGTGAAACTGTGACTCAAAAAAAAAAAAAAGTTATTCTCAGTGATCTATCACAGAAACAGAGAACAGAGTAGCACATGCTCTCACTCATAAATAGATCCTGAACAATTATCATAATACTACAAAAAAGGGATTGGCTGGAGTAGGAAACTGCCAGGGGAGAAGTGGGAGTCCACACTTCATCAATAAGCATAACTGATCTCAAACCAGATGAAGTGGGGACCAGAGTGAGACCCAAACTTTACCTGTATAATGGCCATTTGTATACCTAACCCTGAATTGTACCCCACATCTTTAAAATAAAAATAAAAAAAGAAAGTTATTGAAATATTGACTCAAGTTAACGTGAACATTGAAACTGGCACTTCTGGGCCAACTTTCTTGTTTTATATCCTGATATGCTTTCCTTAGAAAATATCATTTGGTTCCAAAGCTATTCTTACATCTAGATGTATAACTATCATCATAGAGTTAATTGAGAATTGATGAGATATCTGGCCTTTCCACATACAACTTGCTCAACTTATATCTTTTGTTTTAAAATAAAGGGTTTATTACATTAATATCTATATTTATCTATACCAATTTTAATTATCCTAAGAAATAAGACGCTAACTCAGATTTGAATTAATCTACAATACTGAGAGATTAATAATTAGATTATATTCAGCTCTAAATTTTGATGCAGACAAGACGATAAAGAGAAATTTTTTTGCTTTCATCCATTTATTAATTCATATATTTATAAACCATATTAAGTCCTTTTAGCAGTTTAGGTACAAAGATGTGGATATAAAATGGGGTAAAAGCCTGGCTCAGTGGCTCAGCCTGTAATCCCGCGCCTTTGGGAGGCTGAGTGGATTGCCTGAGCCCGCGGGTTCGAGACCCGCCTGGACGGCAAGACCTCATCTCTACAATAAATCAAAAAATCAGCCAGGCGTGGTAGCTCATGCCTGTAATTCCGGCTACTAGGAAAGCTGAGGCAGAAGGATCGCCGGAACTCAGCAGGTTGAGGCTGCGGTGGCCAGGAGCGGCCACTGTACTCCAGTCCGGGCGACAGAGTGAGACTCCAACTCAAAAAAAAATTAAAAAGTTAAAAAATGGGGTAAAACTGCAAAATTAAAGTCATAGTGCTTTAACCAAGCAAACAAAATACAGAGAACGAAAATCCTACAATCTATAAGAAGAAGTTTATGGTCTAGACAAGAGTAGAAGTTTTCCTGGGAGCACACATTTCAGGAAAAGCATCAACATTACAGACTCTGAGTAAGAGAAAGAGAAATATAAATACAGTGGATGACCCGAAAGGTAGCATTAGGCCCAATACAACAGAAGGAAGATGAGAACTAATTTTTAAAACGTAAATAAGTGGTCTCTCGCCTTCTCTCCCCATCTCTCTTTCTCTCTCTCTCTTACTCTCTCACTCTCTCTCTTGCTTTTTCTCAGTTACAGACCCTCTCTGTAACAGCCCCTTTAATAAATCTCTTGGTCCCGGCAAAAATAACTAACTAAATAAATAAATAAATAAGTGGCAATGAATCTTTAACACAGCTGGTGAGAGAACTCTACAGGTGCAATAAAAAAAAAGGTGTGTAATTTGTTGAAGAGATGGTGAAATGGAATGTAATTTCAGGGATATTTCACATTATAGAGCTATGTCTAAAATGAGGGCAAAACTGTTTAAGCCGTGCCCACAGTTGAAGAAGTCTTTGTATTTCTGACAGACGACAACCACAGAAAAAACCCACCGAAGATTTTGGAATTCCTGAGAAAAGATGTCCTCTGTATCCATTTGAATAAGTTGATGAAAAAAAATGTGCTGAAGGTAAAGGAAGAGGAAAAGGAGAAACAAAATGATGCCAAAATGGAAGACAAGGCTCTGGTCTCGGTAGAATCTGTGCAAAAGAAAAGCATGGTAGGTCTAAAGCTTGTCCAAACCCTCCTCAACATGGATTCCAAGTCTACCCATACAGAAGGTAAGACTGAATCCTTTAAAATTAATATCTCAATTTTTTTCATCATCTATTCAACTCCAAAGCTCGTGCCGGCTCCTCTGTGACCTCCCCTATAATTTCTTAAAAATTTCATTTTCACTGAACTTATTATTGTAGTTTTAGAGGCCACCTTTTCCTTTGGAGGATGGTATCCAGAGCCCAATTAGCTAAAAAGCTCAGTTTTGGTTGCTAAGCTGTTTTATAAATAGCTACTAGCAGGTACTTTGTATAAGGGGTGTCTAAACCCAAACCTAGAATCTGTGACCTGTGAACTACGGGACATGATTCAATTTCTAAACCTCCCTGGTACCTTAGTCATCAAGCTTATCATCTGTGAAATGACAACAATTTCAATGGATAAGGCAGAAAACATAGTAATGCTGGGCATATGCTAAAAACTTCCAAGACATTAGCTCTCAGCCAGAACTTTCTCCTCCAAGTTCCAGACCTATTCAGCGCCAGCTGCATTTTTGCCATTGTTGCTCAAATATTGGCAATAATAGGCTTCAGCTAATATATCTAAAATTAAGCACTCATTTTCTCAACCAAATCTGTTCTACTTTCATCCCCTTTCCATCTCAGGAAACAAATCTAAAATATACAAGTTTCCTCCACCAAAATATAACTGGTTTCTTTGGCAATAAATAACAGTAACCAGTAAGGTGCCAGAAAAAGGTTTTTATTACTTTGGTATCTATAGTTTCTTATGAAAATTCAAAATTTACTAGTGAGTAATACATTAGCCCAATGTCAAATCAATCTACCATGCTGGAAGACTAATCATCAGACTATTTTTAATTCTAAAATCTGGTTGAGAACAAGATCCTAAAAAATTAGGAATCTGAATGCATTCATCTATGTATTAATTAATTCATGCACCTAAGTACTTTTAAGCATTTTGAACATACATATTTTGATACTGAATGTGCATAAAAATGTACATTTTAGCACATAGTAATTTCTCCAAAGAAACTAAATAATGAGAAGAAAGACCCTACAATCTAATAGAAGGAATTTACAATCTATACAAGAGCAGAAACTTTCCGAGCAGCACATATTTCTGAATGAACATTACAATCACAGACTGTGAACAAGAGAAAGAGAAATATGAATATAGTGGATGACCAAGAAATTAGCATAGTCCAAATGCCACAGAAGAGATAAAACACTATATGGTGTGTGTGTGTGTGTGTGTGTGTGTGTGTGTGTGTGTGTGTGTGTGTGTGTGTGTGTATTTCTGACAGAAGGCAAATGCAAGAAACAAAACAAAACAAAAAAGAACAAAAATAAAGACCCAATTAAGATTTTGGAATTCCTGAGCAAAGGTGTCCTTCATATCAAGTTGAATAACTTGGAAAAATAAAAGTGCTAAAGATGAAGAAACAGAAAAAGAAAAAAAAAATGTATATATACATATATACATAAATATATATATATGAAACTTAAGTGGCAATGAATCTTTAAATACAGACTGGTATGCATTTAATGGAGTTAGAGAGAACTCTACAGGTACAATGAAGAAGGTGTGTCATTTGTTGGGAAGATGAGGAAATAGAATGACTTTCCAGGAATATTTCGTGTTACAGAGCTATGTCTAAAGTGAGGGCAAAACAATGATCTGTGATCACAATTGAAGGAGCCTTTCTATTTCTCGCAGAAGACAACCGCAAAAACAAAGAGCTTAAGATTTTTGAAACCCTCGCCAAAAGTTTCCTCAATGATGCTTTGGATAATTTGATGAAAAAAAATGTGGTGAAATTAAAGGAAGAGAAAAAGAAAAACTATTATGATGCCAAAATTGAAGTCAAGGCCCTGTACTTGTTAGACTCTGTCGGAAAGAAGCATGTAGCAGCTCAAAAGTTCATCCAAAACGTCCTTACCATCATTCAAAAGGCCACCAATCCAGAAGGTAAGAGTAGATCTTTTACAATGGTTATCTCAAAATTTCCAGCATCTATTCAACTCCAAGGCCTATATAGCACCCTCTGTGATACCCTGGCCTTTCTTTACTAAAGCATCATTTTCACTGAGCTTATCATTGTCCTTTTAGAGGCCACCTTGCCTTTTGTGGGATGGAATCTATTTTCCAATTAGTGTAAAAAGACGAAGACCTTGTTGTTAGGCTTTCACAGAAATAGTTGCTAATAGAAACCTTGTATAAGGAGTACCTAAATCTAAACCTAGATCCTGACACCTGTGAATTATGGGATGTTCTGCCAATTTCTCAAATTTCTTAGCTCTCTAGTCATCAGTCTTAGTGTCTATAAAATGAGGACAATGCCAGTACTTCCTCATATGACTTTGTAAGGCTAACACCAGTAATATCAGGCACATGTCAACAACTCCCAAGATATTAGCTCTTGTCCAGAACTCTCTTCTGAGTTCTGGAGTCACTTAGTGCCAGCTACATACTCAGTGTTTCTCTTCAGTGTCTCACTGCCTTGATAACACTAATATGACTGATTAAACACTTGTTCTCCTGACCAAATCTATTCCACTCTTATCCCTTTTGTGTTTCGGCAAAAAAAGCTACAGTCTAAAAACTTGTGCCCACAATAGTGCAACTGGTCTTTTTTTAACCAATGAATAGCAGCAATTAGTAGAATGCCTGGCACACAGCAGATACCTAACGAGTATAGGCTGAATCAACAAATCAATATGCACATAATAAATATTAGTAATCATAATTGCTTTGTGAGTGCTAAAATACAGACTTCCCCACCTCTCATCCATTTCTGTGAGTTATAAAATTATGATCAGGACAATCCTTATAAAATGTATAACATTTTACAGCTTTTCACAACTTTTGACCCAGATTGGATTATGGTATTACATTACAGCCTTAATATTCTCAGATCCAAGTTCACCAGTGACAGACTCAACTTGCCACAGTGTTTAAATTAAAATCTTCAGTTCTGAAGTACTAGTGTATATCAATCACGATCCATGATAATAAACAAAAGGCAGCATAAATTGCTGAGACCTCATAGTATCAAATGCGTTTTTCAATAAGCCCTCTCCATGGAGAAGGTGTGTTCCCACCAGCAGAAAGCACATGCTAATATTACGATTCACGATGATTGTATCCGAGGCTATTCTTATTAATATTGAGACTGGTCTTATGACAGGATTTTTTCTTGTTCCCAAACCCAGAATGGCATAGAAACAATCTTGACTTTTGAATATATAATATAGCAAGTGGGAATCAAAACTGAAGGATTAAGGGTTTCATGATGATGTTAGCGTTCCCAGAATCGCAATGAACCAAAATAACCTATGTGATCAGCAGAGACTGTGGCAGGAAGGAGGCAGCTGAAGACCCTCTCAGGAGGGGCCCAGTGACTCCCTAAGCTCTATCTGTGTTTGGAGCCTCCAAGTACTCCCAGGACACATTAGGCACCCTGGCTCAGCAGGCCAGGAACGCGGTGGGCAGGGCTGTTGGAAGAGGTGAAGACCCCGGAAGGTCTTTGAACATGTACATGAATCTGAGGTTTTCCTCCATAGTACTGAGGGCTTGGGTAGAGAACAGAAAGAATCCAAGCTATTGGTTTGTTGGTTTATTTCATTTAACAAACCTGTTTATACACATTCTATGTGCCAAGGTCTATTAAATAGAGAAGTAACCACTCAAATACCCACCTTCCAAGGGAAATTGTGTTTTCTGATTCTATACCAGCACTTTTGTTTTGTCTCAATTTAAGGGCATTCCTGAGCATTTCATTAGGTAACAGAAAAGACTCACTGAGTAAAATTTTTATCTAAGCTCCCAATTCCCTAGTTTATTTTTGTCGCACTCTCAGGATAATGGAAATTTTTATTGAGCAACAGATTGTTTTATAATATTTACTGTTTTGTAATAAAATTATCTTTTTTCATGCTAATTTTGCTATAGAATATGAGAGAAATTATGTATAATTTGTCATTTTGCCCTAAAACACCATATCTATACATAGACTCGTAACAGTGATTAGGAGATGATTGTTAAATTTGAAAGTTCTCCAAACCATTCACTAAACTGGAAACAGAAAACTTTGGATGAGAAAACATACTCTCTGACCTGGAAATAAATATACTAGAAACTTCAACATCTTTACATTGGCAGGATTTCTGGAAATAGGACAGAAGAGCATGTGTCACTATTTAATTTATAAAAATAAATGCTCAGAAAATTTGGTGTTCTTACATATTCTTACAACTTGCTTCGTCTCCAAAGTTTAGCCTTTTATCATACTTTTAGAAAGACATTTAATTTAAAAAAGTATTAAAAACTAATGGAAACATGATTGAAACCGAAAAAAACACAAAATATCAAAACTGAAAATTTTACACAGAATTATATTATTTTCTTAATTTAAATTACAAAAAACAGAAAATGTATTGGTTGGCTCATAGGACAGAAATAACATAACTGTTTATTCCTTTCATTAAAAGAAACTCTATTATACTGTATCTTGGTAAACTTCTCGAAGTTTCTACTAGACAACTGTTTCTACTAGACAGCATTTCTTCATTAAATATCTGGCATTACAATTTGGTGAGGGGTAAATGAAGAAAACTTATTCCAGTAGGGTGAGAATTCATGTGAAGGTTGTTGTAATATAGTAGCTGGATGATACAGAATTCAAGATTCCATTAAGTGCTGGGCATCTGTCGTTTCCTGTACGTGTTGTATGGATCAGGAGGGGACAATCCCTTCAAAACCGGATTGTGTGCCATCCCATATGGTAACCACTATCCATATGCAGCTAGTGCGTACTCGAACTGTGGTTAGTAACACATGTCAAAATAATAATAACTTGGATATATTATGCCCAATAAAACATATCGCTGAAATTATTTTCACCTGTTGAGTTTTGCTTTTTAAATATGACATTAGAAAATTTGATACGACATACGGAAATCACATATTATGTCAGATAGATGGCACTGAAAATTATTTACTCAACATATTCTTGCTCAAATACAATAAAAGTCCACCTGAATGAATGGATACCCTAGAGTAAAACTACTGAAAAAACCAAACTGTTTTTCCTGAATATGGAAAGGCCGCAATTGACCCAAAATAATTGAGATAGTTTTCTCCAGATTCTCAGAACCTATCATTGCATTTTGGGGTGAGTCTGCTTTTTCTCCCAGGGACTTGTCACTTCTTTCCCTATAATAACTGATCTCCTTATTCTAGAACTTAAATCAACTATACTCCACTTACATGTGAAGATGTCTTTTCAGAATTTCCTTCTTTCTCACGCTTCTTAGGTAACAAGAGTCACAGAGACAGAAGTCACAATCTACATCATATCATGTATCCTGCAGCTCTAGTGAATATTGTGGCTGGACCAGCTGAGTCAGCAGGATCTACAGATACCCTCAAACTTTGTCCTCATGACGAATTCCTGAGGCTGTGTAAAGAAAGAGCTGAAGAGGTGCTGTGTTCTATGCATGAAAGAGAGAGAAAGAGAGAGACATTGCTTTCCTTTGGAGTGCAGTGGCCCAAGGATAGCTCACTGTATCTTTGAAATCTTGGGCTAAAGGGATTTTCCAGGCATGCAAAACCACCCCCAGCTAATATTTGTATTTTTGGTAGAGAATGGGGTCTTTCTATTTTGCCCAGGGCAATATCAAACTTACAGACTTAAATCCTCTGGCCTCGACCTCCCAAAGTGCTGGGATTATAGCTGTGAGCCACCAATTCTAGCCTAAGTGCACAATTTCTTAAACTCTAATTGATTGCAATTGGGAATAGTGGTGACCTGGGGTGTTTTTTTTTGTTTTTTGATTTTGTTTTTTGGTTAAAATTTCACTCTGTCACCCACGTGGCACACTCACAGCCACTGCAGCCTCAACCTGCTGGACTCAGGCGATCCTTGCATCTCAGCCTTCCAAGTAACTGGAACCACAGGCACATGTTACCATGCTTGGCTTTTTAAAAATTTATTGTAGAGACAAGGTCTCACCAAGTTGCCCAAACCCCTGAGCTCAGGTAGTCCTCTCGCTTCAACCTCCCAAGGTGCTGAGATTACAGGCTTGAGCCGCCGCACCCGACCAACGGTAACGTTTTACATAGATGTTTTCCACAAGAAAGCGATCATATGGCTTCACATAGATTGCAATTTTCTTTCAACCCCATGATAAGATGCAGATCCCTAGCTTTTTCATTCATTCATTCTCATAGTTATTTAGGATTTATAGCAATTTTAGCTAGGGCTGTAGAATAAAAATATTTATAAGATAACGCGGATGAGTGGTAATTGTATTCTAGTTGAAAAGCCTAGGCACGGAGCATATTTTTAAAATACAATTAGGGCTTGCAAGACATCATAATTTGGTTGTGTTAAAAATAATAATTCCACCAAGGCAGATAAGGTTTACTGAATTCATTTTTATTAAACCAATAACAAATGTCTCTTGGTTTTTATGAAATTTAATCTGTAGCTTGAAGACTAAGAAAGATTTGAGTGGGTGGAAAGAAAAGGCTAGAAGGAGTAAGGAGAACTTAATCTAGTTTGCTCAAGATGCTTGAGTGACTGTTCCAGATATGTCCTGATGTTTTGTCTTGAGAAAGGAAGGTCAAGATTAGAAAATGGGGCAACTACATGAGGTCTTAATAAAACAACACTGATGGGCATATGGGGGTTCAAAAGGGATTTGGGTAAATTAAATTCACTGCATATCCATATATCCATCTTCTCCAGATCTATCCAATCAAGAAGAAAAAAGATCGCACTCGCCTGGCTCTCATCATATGCAATACAGAGTTTAACACTCTCCTTCCAAGATATGGGGCTGACATTGACATTGCAGGGATGAAGTGGCTACTTGAGGGCCTGGGCTACACTGTGGATGTAAAAGAGAACCTCACAGCCAAGGTAAGAACCCCTCACCCACTTCTAACTCACATGTTCAACACACATCCTTCTATTAACCTGTCAGCCTTATAAAAACCTCAAAAAATTTTAATGATCTCAGGCCACATTAGTGTGTGTGTGTGTGTGTGTGTGTGTGTGTGTGTGTGTGTGTACACTAGCAAAATGAAGGTATTGGAAAGGTAACATTTATATCTGTATTGATCTCCAAAATCAAAACCATAAAACTGGACAAAACGTATTGGCCTATGTTTTCACAATCCTTATTGAGTTCCAAAGTCAGGTGGTAGGTATTCAGCCCTAAGATTCTTCAGAAATTCTAGCGTAATGAGTGTTAATCAGGAGCGCACTCATAAAACAAATACTGAGTCCCAAACTTGGTCATTGAAGCTCTTCCTGGAACTGAGGATAGGTCTGTAAATGAGACAAGAGTTTCCCAAATAGCATTGATTTAGGTTAGAGTGGGGAGGCTCTGTCAAAATATAAGCAAAACAAACCATCTAATTTCAGAGATTAGGTGTGTGTATGTGTTCTACATAAGAGAAACATGAAAGTCAAAAATAAGGGAAAAGAAAAGAATGAAGAAAACACAGAACTGAGGGGAGTGGGGAGCAATGTTTGATGTCATGGTCTAGAAAAGCCTCTGTGGGTAGATAACACAGGACTACCTGAGGGACGGTGCTCAGACAAATATGATTACAGCACTCTTGAAGTGAGGGGAAAGTGCTAAAATGAAAAGAAACAGGCAGTGAGAGGCACAAAGAGAAGAGGAACATGACTAGAGTTTGAAGGAGCAGAGAACCGAGATCAGGACAGAGAACAGTCAGGCCACAAGAGGGGTCTTATGCTAAGCACAGCGGGATGGAATTTAGAAGTAAAGAGACTTGATGCATTTATAACCCATCACTCTTGTTAAGATAGAAAAGATAGAGATGGAAAAGAAAAAAACAATGTGAGTGACATTCATAAAAAGACAATATATCAAGAAGACAGTTTATGTATACCAGCAGGAAGAGAAGGTAGGAATCCATTGTCCATCAAGGAAGGAAATTAAAATCGCTATCATTATTGAGTAGTCACTGCGGGAAGACACCATGACCCGGATGTTACATCAGTTTCTTCTGTTGTTCGTGGTAAATCTAGGGTCTTAGATTAATTGTCATGCTTGTCATAGTGAAGAAACATGGAACTTTTCCAGGGCATGGAGACAGCGTTGTGGAAATTTGCAGCCAGACCAGAGCATCAGTCCTCAGACAGCACATTCTTGGTGCTCATGTCTCATGGCATCCTGGATGGAATTTGCGGAACGATGCACAGTGAAGAGAAATTGGATGTGCTACCTTATGACACCATCTTCGAGATATTCAACAACCGCAACTGCCGTAGTCTAATGAACAAACCCAAGGTCATCATTGTCCAGGCCTGCAGGGGTGGTGAGTCCTCAAATGGAAACTCAAAAGTTCAAAAGGTGTTTGTAGAGGATAGTGATGTGTGATTTATATAGATAGCAAATAATCTTCGAACTCAGGTAGTACAATTGAACAACACTGAACTCGTAGGAAATGCTGTCTATGAAGCTGGTATCAGGGCAATTTGTCTCATCTGCTAAGATATATTGATACCATTTCCTCAGGATAAAAGGTGAAGAAGTAATCAGAGTCCCTAAATCAAAGTTAAACATAAATGTTCAAACTCAGAATTGAATATTCCTAGTGAGTTTGATTTGTAAATGTTTTACAGTTATTTTGACATGACCTCTTTGAAGAAAATTGCATTTGAAACCGGGACCACTTTGAAATAGCACTACCTCTTTTTTCCTCATAATTATTCAAGGGAAAATAAGTAAGGATATCAGGCACTTAGGTGGTTTGAAGTCAATTTTTTTTTTTTTTTTTTGCTGAATTCCAATTGTCTCATGGGTTTGGGTGCTATGTTAAAAACAGTAACACACATAAATAATTTACCTGAATACTGCTAACAACATGATGATTTAACTATCAGTTGGTACATTGCTCAATGACACTAGAGAGCAGGCAAAGGTAAGATTGTGTTTGTGTGTGTGTGTGTGTGTGTGTGTGTGTGTGCGTGTGTGGAACTAAAGTGAACACACAAGAAGAATGGGGCAGGTGCTTGAGATTGTCAGCGTGAGAGAGGCACAGCAGTGTGTAGATTGTCAATATTTTTCAGAAAACTATGGCGAAGTGTGGTTCAAAGACTCTCCAGGAACCTCGGTTGTCAGCTCTTCACGGTCACCTAGGAAACTGGAGAATGATGCGATTTGCAAGATCCATGTGGAGAAGGACTTCATTGAATTCTGCTCCTCAACCCCACGTATGTGTATTTTAGTGGCAGCCAGGGAGTTGCGTCCTGAAGCCACCTTTGAATAAGTCCAGAAAAACAAGATAGGCTCTGTGCAGCAATGATCTGAGATAAATTTTGTGTACTGTCAAAATATTTAGCATTATCTTATCTGTGCTCATGAGAACAGGTTCTCAGCCCCAAACACCTGCACACATGTTGTTTGAAATTGCTTTTTTATTTTTAAATGCTATACTTTACAGTTAATGCTGTTCCAAATATGAAGGATTGCAATACAAGAAAACTCCCTCATCATACAACATTAAAGCATTAATGATTGATTCTGTTTTTTGCTGAAGTTATTTAACATTTTGAGTAGATTTTATGAATTCCAGAACTGACTGTCCTTTCTCAAAGTATCAACTTGAAGCTTCTCTTCATATTTCTTGACTAATTCTACACAGAGCAGTGTTACTACATTCGTCCCAGTAGGATTGTGAATGCCCTTTAGCAGAAGGCAAAAATGATGTAAGGCTGACTAGTTTTAATCACAGGAAACAGTGTTTAGTATTTCACCACTAGTTAATCCTCTCAAGAATACTTACATTTGATTGTTTCTAATTGCAAATTTTATAAACAACTTTATTGAGGCATAATAGACATACAAAAAACTGTACATATTTACTGTATATAACTTAATAGGTTTGGAAACAAGTGTATGTCCATAAAACCATCATCACACTCTGTGTCAGAAACATGTAATCTCCTTCAAAATTTTCCGCCATCTCTCTATTTATTATTGTCATTATTTTATAAGGAGACTTAAGATACAATCTACCATCTTAGTAAATTTTTGAGGATGTAATATTATTAACTATTGGACCTATACTGCACCATAGATTTCTAGCAGTAATCCAACTTCTATAACTGAAGTGTTGCATCTGTTCTTCCATTTTGTTGATTACATTGTGAAAGCTTGTTGTAATCTGTAAACCAGCTTGAAGTCAGGTGGCCAGTTGTTATCACTTACTCATATTATTAACACGGGGAAGTCCCTTTATCCACTTGAGCCCATATGCTTTCATCCGAATGTGGAATAAATCAGTTACCTCTCAAGGTTTTGTGAACGAACATGCAATAAGTCATAGGAAGTCAGCCCCAAGCATCAACACACAGTCACTTTGCGATCTCTTGGAATTCTGACAAAGTGCTTCTTTAGTTCAACCTCTGCCACTGTTTCTGCTTCCCCTGTATGGGAAATGAACCATTGTTGGGTTATAAGTGTGTCCCTTAAATCCATCAAGATAATTTCTAAGGTATATTTTTCTTTATAAAAAAGACGAAACACTAAATATATAAACAAACAAATAGTGAAGGCCATAACTCAAGGTATACCCCTCTCTCTTGCCCTAGACAACGTGTCCTGGCGGGACTCCACCAAGGGCTGCATCTTCATCACAGAGCTCATCACATGCTTCCGGAAATATTCTTGGTGCTATCACCTAGAGGAGATATTTCGCAAGGTAAGCTTCTCTTTCCTTTTTAGTCACCCATTTATTTGTTCAGGAAGAGTTTATCATTGTTTTACCTTTTAAGTGACAATGACAAACTTTCCCAGGCGAACAGAGGTAGCGTGGTCCCTGGATTCTGTCATACTGGTGTTAAAGTCTGGTTTAGGGAAAAAAGTCAATATATCACAGAAGGAGGCTGATGTAAAACAAAATTATATCATCTAGAAACTAGTACATTATGAGTTATATTTTCTTCAAATTCAAATGATGAAAATAATTTTAAATGAATTATCACTGCTTAAATTATGAGATAAATGTATATTTAGTGGTCCGGTAGGTCATGGGTCCGGGTGACAGAGGGATAAATGAGTTATGGATGGCATACCCCTCCTAGGACTCTCTCTTTGGTGAGTCAGATGGATGCTAAAATGTAGATCAACACACAAATGTGATAGGGTTATAAAATTATGTGAAAGAGAACAAAAAAGAACGCACTCCTTGAATGGAATGGCAAAGGAGAGATACTTGTTACTCCTTTGCAAACTTGGGAATTTTCTTATTTCTCCTCCTTCCTAAATTATTTTTATCTGAAGCTCTTACTACCACCCACTCAGCATATATTTTACTTATGTGTTATTTTTAAAAACTTTTCTTTCCTCATTAAAATGTGAGTTTTATGAAGGCATGAATTAGCCTGACACCTCACTATGCCTGGTGCATATCAGACATTCAGTTAACATTCATTGGATAAATAGGTGCATGCATAAATGAATAAATAATCTTCCCCTTTTTGGGAGAAACATGGTGTTTTTATGCAGAGCATAAAGAAGAGAGCTTTTTATTGTATTAAAAATTGTAGAGAACAGTAGCACCTTTGGTAGGCTACAGAAGATGGCATCACGAAATGAGTCAGGGTTTCAATAGAGAAGGACCTAGAAAGTTAAGTCCTTTTGGATGACTGGTAATTAGCCATTGTACTTTCAAGAGTACGCCTAAGAAGTACTAGAAATGCTGGATTTAGGGAGGCACTATCATTCAGTTCATGCAAAAGACTTCAGAGGTCAGCTTGATGGAGTTTTGAAATGTGTTCAGTGCTCAGATCTTAAATGCAAGATCCTGATATTTAAGTGTTTTTAAATTGAGGAGCCAGCCTCATTGAGGGTTGATGGTAGGGAATCTTCCACATCGTTCTCATGAACAGATCTCAAGGAATAATCGATTTTCGATCTGAAAGTCTGAAATAAAAAGTAGAAGGAATGTATAATTAAAGTTCATGGAATAGGAAAGTAGTTTTTATTTTGAGCTGAAAGAGAACAGTCTGACATGGGATGCCAATTCTAACAGATATAACAGTAGCAATGGCCGGCAGTTATAGTATCCATGGGTTGGTGCCATCAACCCCAGAGGCACTGTTCATCCTGGCATTTCCTTGTTTAGGTGCAGGATGTGTTCTGAGAGATCAAAAGAGTCATGTCTCATCTACAGTCTACTTTTCTTTTTAGGTACAACAATCATTTGAAACACCAAGTGCTAGAGCCCAGATGCCCACCATTGAACGAGTATCCTTTTCAAGATATTTCTACCTCTTTCCCGGCCATTGAAAATTGTGAGTATGTTGGTGGCTTAAATAAATAGAAATGTAACACTGGTGGTGAATTCCAGTTGGCCAATGACAGCTGACTGCATGAATTGTCAAATTATTGTTTTTCTGTTGGCGAATATGGTGATTATTTGCTACCTTTTATTTTCATGAAATGCATTTGAATTTCTCCATCTTTACAACCAAAGGTAGGATGTAAGAAACAATGAAAGAACTTCCATAGCAATTGTAAAAATAGAATTTTACTCAAGCTCTCAATATTACTCATATTCATTTCTTTCTTTTTTTTTTTTTTTTTTGAGTTGGAGTCTCACTCTGTCGCCCAGACTGAAGTGCAGTGGCCGCTCCCGGCCACCGCAGACTTGACTGTTGGGCTGCGGCAATCCCTCCACCTCAGCCTTCCAAGCAGCTGTAACTACAGGCGCGCGCTACCACGTCCGGCTCAATTTTTGATTTATTGTAGAGATGAGATCTCGCCAAGGTGCCCAGGCGGGTCTTGAACCCACAGGCTCAGGCAATCCTCTTGCCTCAGTCTCCCAAAGTGCTGGGATTATAGGCTAGAGCTACCATGCCCGGTCAACTTAAGCATTTTTATGGTCAGAATATTGTTGAATGGGTACATTTAATTTAGACATAAGAATTACTTACTAGCCGGGCTCGGTGGCTCAGCCTGTAATCCCGCGCCTTTGGGAGGCTGAGGTG